GTGTAATACAATGTTCCCGACGGGTATTTGGACTTGTTCAACCATGAAGCCTTCGTGGTCTAGTGGTTATGACGCTCGCCTTGTCAGCGAGAGGTCGCAGGTTCGAACCCCGTTGGAGGCATTTTATTACACAATGATTTTTCATAGGACTTTATTCGTTGAAAAGCTACAGGGTAGCCTAAAGTGTTCCATCATGTCCTTATTAAACACTGTATATGTACCTTTGATGATTTATATTATATATATATATATATACATATACTCAGCCAAAATATAAAAAAAGAGGAAAAATTGTGTAATTGCATACTTACGTATTCTTTTTATATGAATCGATAAATCCCCCCCAAAAAAGGGGTCCGGGGATTCTCCACCGGGAACATATTAGGTCAGGTAATTTTTTTTTCATTCTTATAGGCCTTGCGTGTGTATACATACATAAACAAAATTGAGTAAAATTGCATGTATTCCTTTTACATGAAATAATAAATCCCAAAAAGAAAGGGGGTCGAGCATACGGTGGTATGTACTGTAGGTATGGTCAACTATTTTGGAATGGTTACTGCATTTCATTCACCTGACATTTCGCATGCATTGTAATGTTTATATTATTTTTACTTGATCATAATAATACTTTATTGATAATGTGATTATAGGGCCTATTCTCAGAGAACTTCTACTTCGATATTCTTCAACCATGTGTGGAATTTGGGCAATATTTGGCAGTGATGATAATTTGCAGGTGCATTTTCAGAACGCGTTTAAGGTAGCACATCGAGGCCCTGATTCGTTTTGCTTAAAGAATATCAACCATTTCACGAATTCTTTATTAGCCTTTCATCAATTGGCCATCATGGACGATGTACTTGGCATGCAACCAATGAGAATCAAGGATTTTCCTCATGTAGTGATGATATATAATGGTGAAATTTATAACTTTGAAAAGGTAAAATTGACAATCAAACAAAATAATTATGTTAGATAGAATTGTACAGCCAATTCAGTTGCAGTAAATTATGTCAGTAAACACTATAACACTCTATGGGAAGAAATATTTGTCTCGGTCCTTAAAACAATCATTATTTTTTTAGGATAAATACAAATAGACTAAAATTATTTTGTGTTATCAAGAAATTGACTTTACGTAATTATGCCTTAATTAATCATCTTAAACATGTGACACTTGCACTCCGCTTTCAAGAAAGTGTAACTTTGAATGATGTATATATTGATGACGTATCATGAACGACGGATCCCCAGCTAATGTACAAAAAAAAGGCAGTGAATATTACATCAGTCTTAAACGAATTCCTAATTCCGATCAAATTTTGCTGTCCTAATCCAATCCATAGGCGTACACTAAATAAAATAAAATCAGGAATAGAAACGCCGTTTAAGACTGGTGTAACAATAGCCACTGCCACAACATCAAGTAGGTCTAGAATTTGTAAACAGGGCCAAATTCGATTCTTTGCTTCTCTTTCTCAACTACACAGCTGTAGTGAATTTTAGTTATATTGGCACATTTAGGCATATAGTTACATTCGACGTGGAAGTGACAACACTTCAGGCTCAGAGTGATGTTTAATGCAGCAATCCTATTACAATTTTTATCCTATTGTCCATTTTATCACCCTTCAGAGTCTACCATTCTAAGTGTGAACAAACCTGGCTCAATCCACCACTCCTGAATCATTACAACGTTAATAGCTCTCTGAGCCTGAATTTGAATTTGAATGTGGATGGAAAATTCCGAGTGCAATTCTGGAAATTTGCTGTTGATTTAAAGATGTTTTTATTATTATATTTTATTTTATTATGTATTACCTGTAAATTAAAAGGCGCTATTTAAACCATATTATTACCACTGTTATTATTATTGTTATTATTATTATTATTATTATTATTATTATTATTATTATTATTATTATTATCATTATAGATAATGATTTCTTGTTTTGCCTTTCCTGCTTTGGTCTACTTCCTGGACCATTGTTTTCTGGATGTGCGGCAATTTTTCCTTTGTTGAAATTAAGTGATTTAATACGGTATAACGCCTATAATCATACAACTGCACATTTCGTCTCACATTTGCGTGACCAGTATAATTTCAACTTTACTAGTAACTGTGATGGTGAGGTCCTAATCCACCTGTATGTCTATGGTGGCATTGATTTCATGGCGAAGATGCTGGACGGAGTGTTTGCGTTCTGCCTTCTTGACACGCAAACCAACAAGGTAAATAGGCCTTTATTATTTGATAGCTCAGCTAACAATATTACGTTATAAGAACGTTATAATATATAACGTTACAGTTTGGTTGAAAACGTTATTTTGTAGAACCATAAATACGTACTAGCACGTAATTTCACAACTACAACGTTTGAACGTTCCTGCAACGTTGTGTGAACGTTATTTTTTTTACTACAACCGAAGAACGTTTTGTGTTTGCTGATATGTCCCCGTTTCGCAACCTTGTCAAGCACTCAGACGCGACCCATTCAACCCAAAGGCAAATTTCTCGCCTGAATTCCATGGTAAAATGATTGAATATGGTACTTTTGTTACGTTTGAGTGAATTAAATTAATAACATGTGGCATCAATAAGTTAAAGATTAAATATATATATTTTTCAGACATTTTACTATACATAAATTTCTAGATTTATTTGCTGCCAGAAATTTGTGGGTTATGCGAAAACATAGACACATTAAATTGAAGAGAACAATTCTCGTGAATGTTCAACTGAAAGCCAAACACATTAAAATGAACAAAACTAACACTTTTAAATTTTTATACCTGAAGTACAAATTTTTCGATAGTATTTAACATGAATCTATGATAACGTAAGCAATAAAAAGTAGAGTGACGCATATGCAACACTTTAATTTCAATTTTGTTTATTGTGATTTTATTTCGTTTGTCGTCGTTCGTATTAAGTAAAGTTTTCATGATCTGAAGAGATTATCCGACCTATTAACATTTTTCCGCGACCCAAACATTGGGTCGCGACCGATAGGTTGCGGAACGGTGCTGTAGGTCACCTCTGGGATCTACATGTGTTAAACTTGTACATTTTCATGAAATCACCTTCGTTTGCTGCTCCATGACTTCAAACAGTTTGCATACAATTAATTTCTAAGATTATTTGGAGCAATTAAATTTATATAAATCAACTCCTCTATTCACATCAATTCATTGATTTAAATTGGACAATCCACAAGTATGGACATGATTGCATAAGCGATTCTATCACGATCTACATTCCTATAATAATTCACATTTAAACATTAATATACTTTCATTATAAAGTACTGTACCAATAATGATTTGTCACAGGTTGACAAATAAAAATGAAAACAAAACTAGTTTTTGTTTCTTAATCCAAAAGGTTTTTATTGGGCGTGATACTATTGGCATTCGTCCGATGTTTCGTCTTTATTAAGAAGAAGATGGTATACTTGCCATATGCTCCGAAGGAAAGGGGTTAGTAGGACTTGACGCTGCTGTAAATGGATTTGCAGAAGTTAATCCTTTTCCACCAGGTCACTATGAGGAGCATGATTTGTTGAAGAATGGCAAAGCTGTGTTTGTTGAACGAAGGAGATTTCATTCTATCGAGAATATTCCAAGATGGGCATTAAAAATGTCAGTCTCTGCACAATCAGGTACTTTTGTCAGCCTATTTTGCCTAAATCAATCCATTAGTAGAAATTATAAGGTTTGGAGTCAAATATGGAGGAAGTACCGGTATTTAACTTAGCAGCACCTCCGTTTGGTGGCTTGTGATGAAAAAGAGAGGAGCCAGTGTAGCTTTATGTTTTATGTTTTCCCAAGATGTTGGGATTGGAAGAAAACATAAAGCATAAAGCTTTATGTTTTATGTTTTCTTCATAAAACATAAAGCTTTATACTTTATGCAATCCCAACATGTCGTTGTGCCTATTCATCCAGACAGACACAATGATAAAGGAATATGAATGACAGCAGCAAGTAAAAAAAAAAGAAGAAAAATCTGATGACGCTTACGCAATAAAAATGTCCGCATTAGTAGAATCAAACCTCAGTTACTAATGGAGTATAAATATAGATTTAAATCAATAGGTCTAGACAAAACAGATAAATTGATTACGATATATTATTTACAGTACATTTCAGTGGTGATTTCAGAAACTTGCCGACAGAAGGTTCAAAACAAAGGGCCGCTTAAGGTCTCCAGTCTGTATCTTGGAATATAGTAAGGGTGAAGAGGGAGTTGTTTTTGTTTTTTTTATAGTTTTTGATTGAAAATATTGCGCATTTTAGATAATGTTATTAATAATACCATTGAATTGGCAAATTAACATTTCAGTAAGGACTTAAAGTGGGGTTCCACAATAGAAAGTTCATGATTTGAAAACGTGCACTAAATATTTATGCTTATTCAGCGAAGGAAATTAAATAATGTAATGTTAACCCACTGATACTTTGTATTAGGTGATGTGCATTACACTAACATTCGACTGTTGTTAACTGAGGCTGTGAGGAAGAGGTTCATGGCCAACCGGAGGATAGGATGTTTGCTGTCAGGTATGTATATATATATATATACGATATATATCTGTCTCTTATACACATCTAGATGTGTATAAGAGACAGCAATAGGATAGTTTATTGTTTATATTGTACATACTTTGTGGTGAAGTGGTTACAACTTACGCATGAAAGGTCCTGGATTGTGGAATTTTCTTCCACCTTCCTTTCTAAAGTTCTAAATCAAGCATGTTTTTTCATGTAAAATCAAACATGTTTTTTTCATGTAAAATTAGTATTAGATATCTATTTAATGTTCCAGGAGGCTTGGATTCCAGTTTGGTCACCGCACTTGCAGCTACTCTGGCGAAGGAAAAGGGAGTCGAATATCCTTTACAAACGTTCTCGATTGGAATGACGGGAAGTCCTGACATCGCTGCTGCTCGTAAAGTAGCCACGCATATAGGTAGTGAACATCATGAGATTTCATTTACTGTCGAAGAAGGATTCCAGGCAATTGAAGACGTCATATATTCCTTGGAAATATATGATGTCATAACTATACGCGGATCCATTGGTAAGCTAATAACTTGACTTAACATAATTTAGCAATATTGCATTTTATTATTGTCCCGGTGGATCTAATACAATTGTACGCTAGCATTAGCGAATCAAATTAGGCCTGAAATTGCACACTACCAAATACAGGTGAAAGACAGCACGTATCTGTTACAAATGCCATAGTAAAGCATATACGAAATAGAAATATCTTTCATTTCATTTCATGTCTTCAAAATCACTGAGTTGTCATTATATAGGTAGGCCTATAGAATAGTCGGGCAGGGGTGGCACCAGAGGGAAGCCTCCGTCGGAGAGAAAAAAACTTATTATTATTAGTATTGTTATTATTATTTATTATTATTTATTATTATTAGTATTATTATTATTATTATTAAGTGATTTTTTTTTTCTTTCGCGCTTTTTTTTTACTTATGGCATATTATTATTAATATTGTTCTTCTTTCGCCTTTTTGTTACTTCTATGACAATTTAGCCTCATTTCCACCGTATTTATAGTTGTACACTTTCATGTTTATAATTTGTTTTATGTAGTGCACATTGGAATTAAGTTTTACTTCTTGAAAACTTTCATAGACCATCCTTGCATCATCTCTTATTGCAATATTTTTTTGTCCTGCCTTGTGCGAATTTTATCTGTTTTGTACAATGTTTTGATAATGAGAAATAAACTGAACTGATGATATACAAAAATAAATATTAAATCATAATGGTCTGTTAATTTTATTTGAGTTGTACTTTTTAATGTTGTTATTAGTAACAGCAGTTAAAATAAAACCATCAAAAACCGAGGTAAATACGAGTTAATAGCACCTTAAAGTTAATTAATAAGGTGCGAAATCATGAGGGGGTTTTCAAAGGTACCAGTAACGCCCATACGTTACTTTCAATAACCTTTTAATTAAAAAAAAATGCGTTTTAAGCAAACTTTGATTCGGTGATTCAAATATTATCTGTGTTGCCTACTGCTTATGGTCAACTGAACACGTCACCAAGCGGGTCCGTTTATGTGTAGGTTACTATAATGGATCATTTTCTACACTTGTTTCAAATCACGGTCAAGTAGTTAAAAATCACCTAAAATCACCTTATTTTACGAATTAGCGCCCCTCAACTGATCATCAAGCCCCCTCCCACTTCACCTTCGCCCCCCCCCCATCAGCCTCCCATTTCAAATATCTAGATATGCCACTGATTTGCATAACCAGATGAATGGAAATACTCAATCGATGTGCCACCAAATCGTAACCAGACTTAACCATGCCCTCACGATGTCACTGGGGACGCAACTGCCAAAAAACTATTTTTGGCAGCGAAGGGACTCTACCAATAAACAATCAACAAACTACCGGGTTTCTGGGTTGATTTGGAAGGTAGTACATATGGCTCAAATATTTTTTACTTAGGGGTTAATTGGCAAAAATCGCACACAAATCATATGACGTCACTGACAACGCCGGGGACGGCAACTCGATTTTGAGATTAATTAACTATTGTCTTCAGTTGTATTTGTGGGTCATTCAACTGTCATTTTATCTATTTTTTCGGTGATATTACAATTCTCAATAATCTATGAAACACTCACATAACAACGTCACGTTAGATCGATCGGTGGGGACGCCGTGGTGACGCCGGTAGGGTCAATTTTCGTCGGAAGGTATCAAGATGATAAACAGTTTCATTGGACTCAATTCGTGCTTATGTTAGCCACATACTTACCTAAGATTATACTGACACTGGTTTCAAATCACGTTAAAGTATTTAAAAATCACCTAAAATCACCTTATTTTGCGAATTAGCGCCCCTCAATTGATCATCGACCCCCCGCCTCATCACTTCACCTTCGACCCCCACCCCCATCAGCCTCCCATTTTAAGACATCTAGATACGCCACTGACTTACATGGCCAGATGAATGAAAATACTCAATCGATGTGCCACCAAATCGTAACCAGTCTTCACCATGCCCTCACGATGTCACCGGGGACGCAACTGCCAAACAACTATTTTTGGCAGCGAAGGGACGCTACAATAAACAATCAACAAACTACCAGGTTTCTGGGTTGTTTGCAAGGTACCACATGGCTCAACTATTTTTTACTTAGGGGTTAATTGGTAAAAATCCAGGGACGGCAACTCGATTTTGAGATTAATTTTCCGAATAAAGTTATACTAAATAACTTCTAATAACGAATTACTGTCTTCAGTTGTCTTTGTTGGTCATTCAACTGTCATTTTATCTAATTTTTTCGGTGATATTATCATTCACAATAATCTATAAAACACCCAAATAACAACGTCACGTAAGATCGATCGGTGGGGACGCCATGGTGACGCCGGTAGTGTCAATTTTCGTCGGAAGGTATCAAGATGATAAACAGTTTCATTGGACTCAATTCTTGCTTATGTTAACCACATGATTACCTAAAATTATACTGACACTGGTTTCAAATCATAGTCAAGTAGTCAAAAATCACCTTATTTTACGAATTAGCGCCCCTCAACTGATCATCGAGCCCCAATCCCACTTCACCTTCCCCCCCCCCCCCCCCGCCCCACCATTAGTCACCATTTCAAGACTGAAAATACTTAATCGATGTGACACCAAATCGTAACCAGCTTTCACCATGAACTCAAGATGTCACCGGGGACGCAACTGCCAAAAAAACTATTTTTGGCAGCGAAGGGACGCTCCAATAAACAAACAACAAACTATCGGGTTTCTGGGTTGATTTGCAAGGTACTACATGCCTCAACTATTTTTTTCTTTGGGGTTAATTAGTAAAAATCGCACACAAATCATACGACGTCACTGACTGCCGGTTTGGTCCAAAAACGGCTTGCTCATATGTCTATGAACAAGATTGCCTCACTAGCTTTAGTAGCAGTCGTTCAGCAGCTTGTACGTGTAGCTAAATAAGACTATTTTGCAACTCTTGGAAATTTCGCATAGGCAGATTCAAGGGATCTAGCCGTCGCCCCACCCCCACCAATTCTTGAAAATCTAAAACTGAAGAAAAACTAGAGAAATATTAGAATCAAATTAAAGTCCGAGAGTGCTATTTCCGGCCATCCAATTGCCATAGCAGTTCCTAAGCCCGACCATGAGGTGGGCAGAGGCGGATTTAGAGGGCACACCCTGGAACTCCATAGGGTAGGATATTTTCGGATATCTCTGGATCTTCTATCACCCGCGTAGAGATGCCCTTTTTCCACATTCATAGCCCGGGGACTAGTGCCAACTTTCCAGTAGGCCACTTCTGGTGGTATATTTTAAACATATTGCTCGTAATTCCATTTTGTAATGTCTGATAAATTCTTGTACTTATTATTATTACTGAAATTAACTTCTTCATTTTCTGTCTAGCGAATTACCTTCTTACCAAGTACGTAAAGGAAAACACTGACACTGTTGTAGTTTACTCAGGAGAAGGTGCTGACGAACTTTGTCAAGGGTACATTCAGTTTCGCATGGCACCAAGCGCAGAAGATGCTCATGAAGAGAGCTACCGGTTATTGAATGATCTCCATTTCTATGATGTTGCAAGATGTGACAGAGTGTCGGCTGCTCATGGGTAGGTTATTTGAGATTACTTAAACCGTGTTCGATCAAACATTCTGGTCAAACTAACCATTCTGCTTAGTTCTGCCAAAAACGTAATGCGAACAGCTTGCATAACAATTTTCCTTGCTCAAATTGCTAAAGAACTGCTTTAAGTTTCAGAAAGCCGACATTCTCTAGAAAGAATTACCTTGCTGTTTGCCTGACCAGAAAATATAACAGTGTTACTGTGTGCTTTGCTGAACATTCCATATTTATTAAATTATGAATGTTTATGAGTGCAATTGTTGCGATAAAATATTTTAGAGTTGAAAGATTGGAGAGTATACGAGAAATAAAAAGTTGATAATTGAATATTCACAAAAACAACAGTGGCATTATGTTTTTACAGTTTGTTGTGCATCACGTTTTTTTTTTTTTTTTTTTGTATAACATACGTATTTGGAACGTAATGAACCTAGTAATTAAGTAACTTTGAAGATATATAACATTTTTTTTTTGTTTTCAGACTTGAAGTCCGTATTCCATTTTTAGATCATCATTTAGTTTCCTATGTATTATCCATTCCACCCGAACTGCGTGTACCAAGGAATGGAATTGAAAAGTACAATATAAGGAAAGCTTTTGACGGAACCGGCCTGCTTCCTGACGAAATCTTGTGGAGACCAAAAGAGGGTTTCAGTGATGGTGTTTCACCTACTCACAAATCCTGGAACACTGTTCTCAAAGAATGTATAGAGACGAAGGTAATAAACCTGGTTTCATCCACTAAATTTCATTCAACGATTACTTTAAAAATATGAATCATCCATATAAACACTTATAGACTTAATATAACTGTTAATTTTGTATTGCCCACACCTCATATTCATTTAGGTCAACAAAGAATTTCAATTCTAAATTCAATGCTAAATTAAGGAGCGATTTTTCCTTACTAGAAATATTACTTGCAGGAATGATTTTATAGCAGCAGACCATTTATATATTTATTAAATATATTTCAACTTATCACTTACATTTTTATTTTTTTAATTTATAACTATTTTGTTTAAAAATTGTTTTTATCTTTTGCTTCCGTTATCGTTCATCCAAATTAATATGTTGAACTTAATGTGTAAATTCTAGAATAATTAGTTTGTGTGGTTCTTCATCAAGGTGTTAAGCTTAGATTAGTTTTATTTAACTCCTTATCACCCTTTGTTGTTGAAATGTTTTTAATTTTGATACAATTATTTACAATGAAGTTGAAAGAAACCTTTAAAAGGATAATAAGAAATATTTCCCAAAGAATTTCTCGGATTGGATAGTGAAATCTCTGGACACAAAATCGGGTCACCATGCTCCTCAATGGATAGCGTGCATTATTACAAGTATTAGAGATTAAATTACAATCAATAAACTCGAATACTCTAATATAACCCACCTTAACACATCTAAACTAAATATATATGCCTATTTTCAATAATTTTATATTATATATATTTTTTTTCCCTAAAATGTATTTTTTATAGTGTAGACAGTCGGTTTTCTTATTGTTTCCTCTGACAACGTAATCATTTTTTTAAAATTCAAAGGTAAATGATAACATGATGAAGGATGCTCCCAAATTGTACCCAATCAACACGCCAACAACAAAGGAGGCATTCTACTACCGGCAAATATTTGAACGTTTTTTCCCCAACTGCTCATCATGGACCCCGTACCAGTGGACACCGAAGTGGGTGAACATTAGCGATCCATCTGCTCGTTCAATGGCACACTACAATAATGCTGTTATTCACCAGAGCAAACAGGCTGATGCTTAGACTCGTGCTACCGCATCAATTCGATTACAACTTCTCTCAAAACAGTCGTCATAACATAATGAAGTTGCTCTAACACAACTTTCTTTCATGTAATCTTATTCTTATTACTCAATGTGAAACAAATAAAAAAATGACTCTGGGTGCTTTAACGAGGTTACTAATTAACAGCTCTCTGCTACAACCTCACAGTCAAATGGGTTCTTAGTCCATTTTTTATGCGATGCTTTATATCCGGCTTAAATGTACATATTGTCCAGGTGTGAGTACTCATAGGGTACCACCGTTGATGAAGATCATCCTGAAGAAGTCCGGAATCTTCTATGGAATTATTCTTTTTATAAATTTTGAGATCATCCACATACTGAACAATGAAATGATTTAAAGTAGAAATTAACATATAAATTAAAAAGCAGCGGTCCCAGAATGGAACCACCAGGAACCCCAGAGTTTACAAACAAAAAGCAACTTGGATGAGGTAGCATTAATGACAGATCGCTGCTGTTTATTATGATCATAACTAGAAAACCAAGAAAATAGATTACCAGAAATTCCAAACTGTTTTAATTTCAAAAGTAAGGAGATCGTCCATGGGACACAACAAATGCGTTTGCAGAAGTCTGTGTATTTATGGCGTCACACTGATTTTTTTGTTTTTTTAAAAAATCATCAATTGCCTTAATAAGAAGTAACCATTAGACTGGCCAGATTGGTCTCGCAAGAAACTGTTGTATGCCTATATTTAGTCATGATGTGATGTTATCACGACCAAATTTGGTAGTCTGGACTGGGCCTTAAATTTGCAAGTGATAAATATGTTTGATTTTTTAAGTTTAAAATCAGCTAAATCTGAATCGCCATCTGTTTCATTGAAATTTGATAAATTATAGTTTAATCTCTAAAGGGGTTTTCGATTGACTTTTTGAGGATCATTTTTAGAATGTATCATGTAGCTTAATTTGCTTCGATCTGCTGCTTCTCCAAAAGTCTATATTCGCTAATTTTTTTTCGATTAATACTTTTACCATTATTGTTGGTGATGTAATATTTATATTGACGAAGACAAATATCTACATTACATAACTGTTTAGAGATAATAAATATTTGTTTATTAAATATACTTTAACCAATGAAACATGTTTCGAGTGTTTTTAAATGTTCCAGCAGTACAAGATGTATATCTAAATCACTCAAAATAACTTTATTTATGCCTAGTGAATATTGTTTTGCTCAATTCATATCAAATAAAATTACTGTATAGCAGTCAATAGAAAAAAATTACTGTATAGCAGTAATTAGGTATTTTCCTAACTTGACTAAAGTGTACTGTAGTTAAAAATTTGGGCAAAAATAAATTAAACCCTTTAAGAACCATCCTTTAAGAGTTACCGATATAAGGCAGGGTCGACATATTACAAATGTTCTGTATAGAGATTAAAAGAAGAAACAATATTGCATTATAATACATTACATTTAAAAAAGTATTATCCCATGCAAAATACCAAAAAAAAAAAAAATTGAAATTCACTTATCAATTTTGAATTAAAATATAATTATCAACTTGAACATAGAGTAATAGTGCATTAAAAAAATGTTTACCAATGATTTTAAAAGCGAAAATTGATAGAAAATTTCCAGTCACTGGAAGCGTTTCATTAGTTTTATTACAATTATACAATTTTAAAAATCAGGTATACAATTTTAAATTCAATTCAATTTATGCTCAAAATGAGAAAGTTAATTTCAAAATAATTTTTTTAATGATTTTTGTCATTTTCATGGACAGTACATCTTTAATCCTATGATGCTGGCAAATAATTTGCATTGGAGTTGAGTTGAACTCAAACAAGCATACATGTAAATCCTAATAAATCAATTGATATCACATCAAAAAATTAAATTGGAAAAAAAATACATTGTTCATTTAAGATAAAAAGAGTACCATAAACATTACTGAACATAGGGAAATGAGCTGTTACAAGCCCATTGGCATTGTGTGGTAGGGTGCCCAGTTCCTTTCCACGCTACCTGTTTAACCTCCCTAGTAAAATTTCATCCAGGTACCTATTCTCCTGGGTAGAGAGAAAATTCCTTGCCCTAGGACCCAAGGAAAATGCATAGTGAAGGTTCGAACCCCGACCTCAAGATTCCTAAGCTCAACCGCTGGGCCAACCACTCCTACAAAATTAAAATCAAAAAGATAAAATAAAATATATATAACTTTAAATTATGGTAGACACAGAACGAAAAATAAACACAAGTTCTATCTGATTTTCCATCCCACTTGAGATTGTTTTGGAATTAGTAGACGGCTAGACTCTAATAGAAAGTGTATGTTTTATCAGAGTAGCCTACACGTAATATGTATGCACGAGAAGCACACACAGAAGACAAGTGACTATTTTTTTTCATGGTAGGAGAAGGGGATGACTAGCCACCCTATCCACCCCCCCACTAGAGCTGCTGCTGAGTGTGCCACCATAATGCACATCATTCCTATCAACTAATGAAACACAAACATAGGTGGCTATTTTTAGACTGTTACTCCAAGGTTCTTCCATGAACCTCCAGGGCGAGAGTTCACGGTCTGGTGACCACTGCCAGCGAGTTTCCATGCAATACATTAGTGGTATCTTTAGACAGGTGTGAACATGAACTCGCATCCTTGGTGACTTGATTGAACCCTGCCAGAGGCGTAAACTCGCGTCCCTGGTAGCAAACATGTTAACACAGATGGTAAAGCTTTAGATTCTATTCATCCGGGTTGTGCCCGGTCTTCAATTGTTGGAAGACATCGGTCAACATTTGATTGCACATTGCCGCATAAGGATTCAACTGGACCACTTGCCCCTTGGCGAACTCGCTGCCTAAATCTGCAGCCTTCTGGAAGTCATCCAACGCTGATTCGTTCTGGCCTTGTAGCCTCCGGATCAATCCCCGTTGAACGTATGCCTGGCGACCTGCTTTTCCTTCACCTTCGCTCAGTAGAATCGCCTTATCCAAGTCCTCCAAAGCACCTGTGCAGAAAAGCAGAAAACAAAGTATCGATTATTGTGTAATTGCATGTCATTTGCTATTTTCATTTTCTATATTTTGGAATTCATATACTAAATACAGTATATAATACATTATAAGAAACTATAAGAAAGAAGAAAATAAATTCTATGAATTTGTGAGCTATGAAGCATACAGAAG